ACAGGAAAACAACTAGCAGATAGCAATGGGTTAGACAGAGATGTCAGGATTGATCAAGTGCAGAACCAGCAAAACCATCATTAGCAATTGTGAGGGAGCTACAGGGATTGGTTTGCAAAGCTAAATATTTCTAAGCTTGGCTACATGCCAGCTAAGGGGAACTTGATAATATATGAAAAATGTAAACACTAAGGCAGGATAAGAATTATTTAGTGTAATGCACTGCAGCATAATTAGAAATAAAGGATTGAAATTACAAAAAGGGAAATGTGGGGTAAATATACGGGGGGGGGGGGGGGAATTTTTTGGTGAAAAGAAGAGGAAGGGGGGGGAAAAGAAGGGGGGGGGGGGGGGGGGAATCTCTTTGTCTGGGAGCTTTATTAACTTTTGGAATAGTTTCCTGAGGGGCTTCATGTGGAAGTCCTCATGGTGAGGCCTGTTGAAATGAGATGGGAACAAAGTTAACACTAGCAAATATACTCTAAAGACTAGTTCTGAAATGCCTGGGAGATGGACTGTGTGTTCCAACTGGTTCTTTCCATTATTTCTTCTATCATTCATATGTGGGAGGAGGAAATTATTATAGAAAAGCTTTCATTCTTTTTTTACACAAAGTTAGATCTATAATACACAAGGATAGAGACTTTGATTCCTATAGATTTAAAACAGTTTCAGAGTTACTCATAAGAGGAGCTGGGCTGTTTTATTCTGGCTTTTCACATTGCGTCTTTCCCAAGATGGAGGCAAATGTACATTTTTAATTGGCCAATAACCATAGTAACAATATTTCCCCAACCTTTCATTCAATACCCCACTCCTAAAACTGCTTGTCTGTTCAGTCTACCTCTCCGAGAAAGCATGAGCAAATAGATGACTTATTCTGTGTTGGATCTTTTGAGTTAGTAAGAGGGGTAAATTTCTGAGCTCAGTATCCCACAGAAAGAAGGCCTTGTATAAGTGACACCAGTTCCCTTTTTAAAAAAAATCTGTGCTTCCCTGAGCCCTAGCATCTCAGATGCTCTCAAATACCTTTATATAAAGGAAGGAAGTAGCAGTCACCATCATAGATGCCAACTTTTTTTTTTTTGGGGGGTGGGGGGCACTAAGATGATGGATGTGTGGAAAGTTTATGCATTTCAGGTGACAGCCCTCTTCCCAAGCGGGGGGAGGCACGGCCCTCGGGCCCCCATGCATTTGGCACTCATGGTCCCCATAATGTGCAGCAATGAATGTATTGAGAGTTTTTCAGATAAGAAGTGGAACCTGGATACTAAAGGGAAATCAGTGCAGTTTTCTGACTAGTGCAATCTACTTTGGGAGAAGCACTGCTAGTGTATAAGCAATTTTGGTCTGCCTGGCCTAGCTGCAGTTGTGGATTCATCTTCCCATACAGTCTAAACACAGAACAAGGCAGTTATAAGTAGAGACCTACCAAATTCACAGCAGAAGTGGGCTGCGCAGCAGATCCTTTAATCTTACGGGTTCCCCTGCTCTGACCCCTCTCCCCACATTGCTGATTGCCTGAGGGGCCTCAGTGGCCCTGTTGCTTGCTGCTGACCAGCTGAAAGGCAAAAATGGCACCATTTTTTAAAATACAAAGTTTTCGCCTCCCTGTTGATCAGGACAGTGGGACCTCTCTGCCAATTGGCAGGGGGAGAAATGAATGGGGGAACCTGCAACATTAAAGGAGCTTCCACACAGCCCACTTTCACCATGAATTCGGTAGGTCCCTAGTCATAAGTCTGCAGGTGCCAGAATAATGGGGAACTGGTGTGAACTCCTAAAAGAAAAGATGCAGCCTTCTAGACTGAGAACAGAATAGCAAGAGCTCTGGGCCATCTTCTGCTCTATGAAAAACCTGAAACAGCCAAGGATCCAACATGTCCTTGAAATAACAAACCTAAGTGACAAAGGGCTGACAAAACTTCCCGTATAACGGAAGTAAATGTTACCTCCACTTTTCCAGTTGCTCCTGCTAGTCTGACTATATAACCTGCCTTCCACCTGAAGGTAATTTATGCCACCAGTTCTTATACAAACCCCTATTTGGTGTAAACACTTAAGGAAATCTCTGAACTGCATGATTCCTGCTCAGTGACGTGGGAATATCAGCAAGAAAAAAGGGAGTATGATCTGAATGCTAATAACATTGCAAAACACCTCACCACTCCTCCTCAGGCCATCATACAGGTGAACAAGAATAGTAGGAAACAGTAGCTCTGAAAGGTGTGATCTGACTCATTCATCCCAGAGAGATGTTAATTCAGAGGCCCAGTCATGATAAAGGTCAGCATTTTAAACTGTTTTAATCCTCATGAGAGGAAGGAAGAAAGAAGAGGCAAATTCATGGAGTTGCAGTCTACTGTAAGCAACCAATAAGAATGGTGTCACAAGTACATGGCATTTGGGAGAGACCACTGTTTAGTCTTCTGTAACCTTACAAGAAGCTAAGCTGAGACCAAGGGCATCTGGGCTTCCCCTGAGGGAAACTGAAATTCTTAGCAGAACCCACAGGAAAGGGAAGGGGGATCTGAGTTTGTTGAAGGGAATCCCAGTATAAGGATCGCAGCGGAGCCCTACAAACAATACACAATCATATTTTGAACATATACATAATCTACTGTGAGCAGTGGCTCATTTCACAATTCCTAAACTGATAATGGAGAAAGAGGAAGATTAACACTCCTTTTCTTCCTAAATTAACCCCTACTTTAGCAGTGAAAAGAGGTGTGAAAATATATTCAGAGGGCTACTTAGAGTTTAATTGGGTTCCTTTGTCTCTGCTTAAAGTGCGTGCAAGGTTAAGCCTAAATGCAATCAAATTTTATCTGCATGGTTGGAGGATGTACAAAACAGAGCATGGGAAAGAGGAGTGTTTAGCACTTTTAGTCAAAATCACCAGCTGAGTATGCAGAGTATACTAAACATGGAGGCCAGAATTTGAGCCCAAAGGAAGCTGAAAAATCCATGAAGTTCACTAGTTTGGATACAGAAAGGCAATGTAAAAGTAGTTAAGGGGACTCTTAAAAGGTAGCAGTTGGAGCAATCTATTTTATGTCCTAATTTAGCTTCAGAGAATTAAGGATAGATCCTTTCCTGAGACGCTTCTGCTATGTCTGCACTACATGCTCAGTACTCTTAGGGAGATTCACAGTCACATAAAGTGCTAAAACAGTATGTAGGAGGAATTTAGATGCCTGAGTCCAAAAAATTAATCCAGAAAGTCCCTGAATTCTCTCAGTGCCTACATTTTAGTCTTGAAAATTTCCTAGGTCAGTGCCTGGGAATGTATGGCCTTCAGATTACACCTGGCCTGCGAAGGCCCCATTCAGCACAGGGGCTGCAGACAGAAGTGACAATTTTTGCCCAATCTAGTCACAGAAAACCATTTATGGCCATGACCAAACACAAGTGCACAGCTGCAGACAGCTTCAAAAATGGCCAGTTGGGTGAAAATCTGATCCTTCATTGTATGAGGGGTCAGATGAAGATGTTTCAAAACAGAACTTCTTCCATAATTTCTGTCTCCGCTCCCTGCTAGCCTGTCACTGTTTTCAGAATGGGAGGGGGGAAAGGAAGCAGACGGAGTTCAGTCGGGGCAGGGGCGGAGGGTTCAGCCCCCACTGGAGCATGGGATGAATATATTGGAGCCCTTCTGAGGTGGGGGGCTCCAATTCAGCCACCAGCTGGGAAACCCATAGAATGAGCTCCCTCTGCTCCCTTTCCCGTTCCCATTCAGAAACAGGGACAGGCTGGGAGAGAGGAGGGCTGTTACTAGGGGAAATAGGCTTCAGACTCACAGCCAGCAACTAGATTCCTCTCCCCACTGGAACCAACAGTGAACTTCTGTTTAGTCCAGCGGATTGTTGCAACTCAGAACACTTCCTGAAAAATGTTCTCAGCTACAGCAGGGGGCTGCACTTCTGTCTGTAGCCAGGGTGGCAGCAGGAAGCTGTGCAGTGCTGCCCATCCCCTTCACAGAGCTCCCCTGCTACTTCACTGTGCCTCCCCTAACCTTCACTGCATAAGGGATATGAATCAGCTGTGAGGTTGAGTGCAGGAAGCTGACCACTCCAGGGGTGGAGACTTGCAGCTCATAGTGGGAGACAAGTTGCAAAGGGTGACCCGCCTGCAATACAAAAGGTTGCTTACTCCTACTCCGCGTGCCTAAACAAAGTTTCTATGCATCTGCAGAAGTTTCCTGGTTTGAGCAACCAGGCCTAAACCTAAGCCTAAACTCTACTGCAACCCACATATGAGGCAGAGCTGCATCTATGCTCCACCTAAACCTCTAGTAGGCATAGCACCATTGCCCACCATCACCTCCATCTCCTGGTCTTCCTCTGGCATTTTAAAAAGAGCAAACCCTTTTGAGTTAGGTGCCTGCCCTCAGAAGAGGCTTCAGGCTTCTGCACCTTGAATGCACAGAGACATGTGAAGTCCTGACTCAGGTGCCTAAGCTTTGAAGAGGCAGGAATTCAAACGGACCCTTGGGCCCAGTATTTCAAATTAGCTACTTCTGGGTAGTTTCCATGTGAGCTTTTTTGGGCTGCCCTTTGGCACACTGACTTTCCACATTGACTACTTAGGGAGTCGAGATGCCTAAACCCATTTCTTAGGTTCATGATCCTGTGGACAGAAGTCTGCTTTTTACATATCCTGAAGTCTAAGATGGAGGTGCAAGATTTACCCTGCTGAATCTTACCCCATATTACTGACAATTACATTTGCACAAAATGAAGCAAACAGTATCCATCTCCAAGCTAGATCTTGGGCTCCAGCTGAAACGCACATAGTACAAGCCAAGGGGAGGTGATAAGATAGTTCTTCTGTGCACTTCCCTGATTGTTAGCTTATTTTGTGCTAGGACAAGCTTCGGCTGTAAAATAAGATAACCTGATGAACCTTGATGGCACCTGGGTATCAGCCACTGCATGTATGGGCCAGACTCCTTTCTTTCTGGGATCATTTCTTCTGCCAGTAGCTAAGTGGGAGGGGTATAGTCTTACACTGGATGGCACAGATCTACATTGCAGCAATCTTTCTCTCATCAGTTATGCTGACAATATCTGTTGGCAATGCACGTGCCAGGATCATTCTCTCAATCTCTAAGAGGTAGTGCCAACATCAGTTTCAGGTTCAACATGACTAACTTCTGTAGGAATCAAGATGGAAGTATTTGATGTTGGAACATGTTGTTCCTCTTGCAGGTGACAGAAGCTGAGAGAGAGTTAGGAACTCTGGGCAGCACGGTGATTGTCTGAGGTACTTTGGCATGGCCATCAGATACACCCAAGCCAATCTAAATAAAGACCTCTGTTTCATTTGGATTTTTAAGATGTTTAATTAAAGGTGGTTCAATAATAAACTTACCTTGTATTTTATTTTCTGTAGTGTGAACATGATGCAATTAACAGACATTTGTAGAAATGTGTTTCCATAGAAAAGTAAACTATTATTCTCATATTCAGAATATAGGTGTAACTGGCTTGACACACTAAAACAGCAAATGACTAACCTTTCCCAATCGCCTAGTTTTTGTAACCTTTCAGTTAGCTTTTATTTTTCAAACCATTTTCTTCACAATGGTTCTATTCCAAGTGACAATTGTATGACTGATGAGGCTGTTACTTGCAATTTGATTTATACCCAATGCCTTAAATATTAGTAATATAATCCTACATTTATAGACTATTGCAAAACACCCATAACATTCAAGTCTGTTAGCTAAGTATTTGTTGCTTTGCAAGGGTGAACAAAATACATCATGGCTATTCAATGCTTGCATTAAAATCCACCTCACCCATTTTAATTTAAGAAGGGCAGATGAGGAACCAAAAAGGGGACATAATCTGAAGTCTGGATTGATTAGATTTTCCACAGTAAACAGTGCCTGCTGTGAACAGCTACTCATAAATGTCAAATTTAAATCTCTAAGCCAGCTACTCAGCTGATGAAGAAAATGAAGTTATGCCATTAAATAAAATAAGTGGGCCTGGGGCTAGCATACAGTGCAGGAACAGTCTGTATTTGGAACACAAAGAGAATGTTCTGCTCAGGATACGCGTTAGAGAGCGATTTTCATGACAAGTGAAGAAGCTATCATTCACTCAGTTTTAAAGGGAAGAATAATGGCAGTTACTCAGTATTCATTTTATTTATCAAAAATGGTACAGTATATGTTAAAAGCAAAGAGAGTGGGGTTTCAACAAACTTTTTAGCATAGTAGTATGATTTGGGCTGTGATTTGTCATATTATCTGATACAATGAAAAGGAAATTTTGGATTGCTATTCCCCAATTCTGTTTCATTTTCACACTTAATCAAAGAACATAACACTCAGGACAGAGGTAGCAGGGCAGAATGTAAGTGTGTGGGACAAGATTAACAGGACTTGTCCATATTAAGCCCAACTCTACCCCGTGCTACCTGTCCCTTATTTTTCTGTTTCCCAAAATTCACAAATAAAAAAAAATACTTAAAACCCAAACATTGTAAAGTATCTTAACACGCAGGAAGATGGTCTAACAGACATCTTAGTCACTAAAAACGCAAATGCAGACTACAGTGTGGATCTGGATTGCCATGCTAGGCCAAGCTTATTTTATTACATACATTCTGCATTCTAAGTACTAATACGTTCATAATGTAAACATTAAGCATACAGAGTTAAAATTCAAGGCCACAATATTTTTGATTGTCCCTTCTTGTGTCTTTGGTTGGCCGAGATCAACTCGTAGTGTATAAATGCATAAGTTATATAATTATTATATAAAAAGGAAAAAAATAACATTGACTTGTATACTTCATTCTGACAAACGCACAGCGTTTGCGACTCAAAAAAGAAAAACTGGCGCCCGCCTAACAAAAATACTTAAGTGATTTCTGATTTTGGCAGTCTGGGTTTGTCTCTTACAACATTAGAAAACAAACTCCCTTAATACTGATGAGGTCCTACAGGTTACCTTTAAATATCAAACAATTCCAGTTTTGAATTTTTAAAAAAGAGATGCATGTTCTGATTTCTGAATTCTACTGCTTCTTCCTTTTTTACTATTTTTTTTAAATCAAGTCTTTTCCTTCTGTAATACTGGGAATGGCATGATATTGATCAGAATGTTTCTTGTCCAAACAAGTAATTCTTCTTAGTCCACCAAGCACCACTGTGTTTTCAGTCTCTTGAGTATCTACCAGGAAAGAAGCATTTTTTCTCCTATTCCCATCAACTTCCTCTTCCTTCTCTTTCCTTCTACTTCCTATATCATATGCAGGCCCTTGGTCTACAACCATACACTTGCCCTTCAGCACATTCTTAATTCCTATGTTTGGCTCAGGGTTCCTGTAATACTGTCAAGGAATCTTAAAGCTTGGGTTGGCTTCACAGTTTGAAATAGCTGATACTTCCCCAATAAATGGAATGTATTTTGATTTTAATTGAAAGAATGCCATCATATTCCAAATCAGCCTCCATACTAGCCCAGTCTTTTTTTGATATGTTTCTATCTTTTAAATACAGGTAGTTTTTTTGTTATTTTTAAATGAATTCATATACTGTATGTTAGGTCACTATAGAGTTATCCTTATATTGCTGTATTATAGTCCCAGTTTGCATTAGCAAGATATCAAACTTTATACAAAAGCTTATCAACATTTTAAGACCACTTTCTCCTGTAGGTTCTCCATATCATTTCATGTTTTTACCTACAACAGTCTTGTGTTTTTTGGTCCGTATACCCGATGCCATATAACATTACATTTTAGCATCTTTATACTTCTTGAAAACTTTCTTTCAATCCCTACGACACAAAGTCTTTTTGACATCTTTTTTTCCCAGTCAAACTTTTCATGTCTCTTTAGGCACTTTTAATTCATGTTCTCCAGTAGAGTTCTTGATAATTCTTTGGGGACTATATTCCTTGATGGGAGAAGTGCATGTCTCTCTCTCTTTTTTCCATTTAGTAATAGGTGCCAAGGTGAGAAGGCATATGCGTAGCTGGAAGCCTAGTATTAGGGTAGATACTTCCAGTCGGTGAATTCCAGTATGGATTGGGGGCAGGAAAAAAGCTGGAGGAAGTTACAGGTAAAGCTGGAGGATGGGGAGCTACAAAGTTCATCTTCTGGGGATGTGCGTGATAGGAGCTCATGTAGGGTAGGTCTGATGGATACTTGTACATAGATGATTCTGGGGGATGTGGCTGGAGAGCCTGAGCAATTCCATGGAAGTCAAACTTGTAGGCATAACGCTTACCATGGACTTTAGTCATAATATTTTTGTCATAGTAGTAACGGAGTGCACGACTGAGCTTGTCATAGTTCATGTTAGGCTTGCTTTTCCTCTCTCCCCAGCGCCGGGCTACTTCATCAGGGTCAGTCATCTTGAACTCACCATTGGTGCCCTCCCAGGTGATGCAGTTGGAATTAGAGCTATCTGACAGGAGCTCCAGTAGAAACTGCCACAGCTGGATTTGTCCACTCCCTGTGAGCGGAACAGAAAATAGAAAGGTTGAATCAGTGTCTAATAATATAACGATGGCAACTCTTCCAGACTCTCATGCAAACCTACGAAATCCAAATGCATAGCCAATTAGCCAGTTGTTTAGCCTTCCTGCCTCTCAAACTGGCACCTCTTTTCTTTTTCTAAAAAAAAAAGAGGAAGGAAAAGAAAAAAAAATGGAAAAAAAAAGAAAAACCTTTGCATATCAGAGACCATGACTGAATATACTGTTTTTCCTAATTTGGGAAGGAGAATGCCATTATATGTAGATTCAATAATGACCTAGTATCAGTCAGTTTGGACAACAGATGGCAAAATAATACAATGCATATTTAGGAAACTAATCCCAAAAGTTCAGGAGAAACGGCCTTCACTTCCATTACATGATATTGGTCTTATTCTCATAACATATTCTGCAATTAAATATTCTCTACTATGGAATAAATCTACACAAAATGCAGAAGTTTAGAGAAAGCTGAATCTAATCCAAACCGTATCACCCATTTCCAGTATTTAGGGAAATGCAGAACGGAAACTCATTAGCATACTGTTGCATTGCCCCTGACTATATTGCATAGCATTTGGGGGAACAATGAAAAAGTTCATAAAATGAATTACTGTAATTGTCCTGAGTCAAACAAGAGTGCAAATAATTGCTAAGGGTAAGACTCAAAGCACTGTCCCCCTTCTGTCCCATCCTGAACCAACCCCTCCCCCACCTCCCTTCCAGGAATTAAATCTTAAAGAGAAAGAGTTGATCCTATTGAAAATGTTGCATGCGTCAATGTGATAAAATAAAATATGAGGTTTCTAAGCAGTTGTCACTTGTGTAAGGTCTTGCCAATTATATTCATGTAAGAAGAGGAACAATTTTTGATAAAGCAGCACTGAAATTATGAAAATTACTGCATGCAACTGTGTTCTGCAATGTGCAACTGCTTGTAATGTGCTCTGTTTCATGAGCATAATGTCAGCAGAATTTGTCAGCCATACATTTCTGTACATCTCTGATGAGAAATTACATTTTTAAAGCTGATATGTAGGTATAATAAATAAGCTTTTCTTTGGAAAGTTTATAAGGGTGCATTACAATATCAATCTTAAGTCACATCTGAAATCTATTAGCAGTTTATACTTCAGCGCAACTGAAACCTCTATTCCTTTAAATGATATTTATCCAAACTGTTCTTAATGAATTTCTTCTGTTCCATTAACATGCATTAAATAAACAAACAAACAAAAGAATCTATGGTATGAGCAGGGCATGCAATTTTAATACATAAAACATAACAAGAGGATTAGAGTTTGGAAATCAATAAACAGTTCAGCACTGGACAAAACACAATTTTTTTGAATAAGCAATCCAACATATGTTCTAATATAAACACTTGCCTTCCAAATGTAATATATAGTCTTATGAAAATAAATCATTGCTGTCAATTTCCTTTTAATGAGAGAGTAATTCCATCATTTTATAAATACAGAAACTTGTTAAAGTGCAGGAATGATGGTTTGTAGAAATTCCATACCCCTGACTTTCCCCAAATGTTGAAATGTATCCCCATTCAGAGCAGGTCACATTAGCACTTTCCAGAGTGCTGTAGGCACAAGTCTAGCAAAAAGACAGTTGATGCAAATGTGCTAGGCTGGGATTTGCAAATGGTTTGAAGGAGTTAGGTACCCAGCTTCCAACGTGATTTGTAAACAACCTTCTGACACTAGTTCTTATTTAACTTCTTTCTTGCAAGATGTAAAAAATGTTGTCTTAAAAATTACACTAAACTATACAATATCTAAAAAAGCTAAGTAAAGGGGAAAATAGCAATTGACATTGCGAATTGGTATTACTAATTAGAAGTTGGTATTCAATACCAATTGAAATGCTCCCAACCTAAACAAATCATAACAACATTGCCCTAAGAACCATGAAAAGTTAAACATTTTATAGACAGAAATAATACAGTGGGGGAAAGGAGCAGAAAGAAAAGCTTTCTAGTGTTTGGATGCTAGAGAGGGGATAATAGTTGATGACATACGCAATGTCAATCTTCTGGCCCAGACTGATCTCATTTATACTAGACTGGCTCTGGTTGTACTGGACACAGTCAACTGGACTGATTACTATGGCATCAGCTTAACCACAGTGAGATCAGTGTATAAAATATTTTAATAGTCTATCAAAATAATTACTCACCATAGTGATGTTTTGCATCCCTTTCTCAATATTATAAGCTACAGTTCAGAATGTGCTCAATAACATTTTAGAAATGGCATGTCATATTTAATCAAAATCTGATCTTATTTGTAACTGCAGCTTTCTCTTTTTTCTCAGTGGGAGAATCTCACTGAGTGAACTTCACTCTTATCAATGGGACACCATAACACCAATGTATAGCTTAAGTCCAACCTTCTAAATAAGGCTTAAATAAGCCCTTGCACTGGCTCTCTTTGAATTTAGTAAGACTACTCATGTGATTAAAAGCTCAATTCTGTAATCTGCTGGGTTCCATCAGCTCCTACAGCTTTGCTGGTTGATTTTGATGGCAGCTAAGAATGGTCACCTCCCCTGCTGAATCTGGCATTTAATTTGTAGTGAGGTTTCTTCAGTGGTGAGATCAGAAAAGTTATCTTAAGGTATCAAGAATCCTCACCTGGATTTGCCAGACGGCTACTGGTTGGTCCAAGAATCTGGTAGGGATCTACATGAAAATGAAGAAAAAAAGTGATGCAACAACCTAAAATCAACTAGAAATGTGGGTATCATGCACACAGATTTGCATACATAACTGACACACATGCATAGCCAAAGGCAAAGGCCACCCCATGGACCTGAGAACTGTGATCTGTCATATGACTTCCCTGCCTTGGACGAATGGTTATAGCAAACTGAACTAGGGAGACTCCAGCCAAGGAGCTAGAGGAAGCGCTGCTTAAGCTAAGTCAAGGAGAAGAGGGGGAAAAAACCCATCTGTTTTTAGTAAAAAAAGGGAGGTTGTATTTTCCCCCTGCTTTCTTCTTACTTTACCCACTGCCCAGGTGATCCCTTCATTGGCATAAGTACTGTGTGCAGCAAATGTGATAATAAATGGAGGCAGGGTTTCAGTAGCTAAGATTCAGCAGCAGCAGAAATTGTGAGGCTCCCATGGAGTGAGAATTAGAGGAAGGTGATTGTAGTCCCTAAATTCTGGGAGTGGTAGGTACTTTCTGATGGGAGAAGAGGGAAACTGAAGAAACTGATGTCTTTTCCGTCCTTTGGATAGTTTTCCTGCTTCCTTGAATAGAAGACATTCACTGACATGCATATGCAAAAAACAGTGCTGGGACACTGGTTTTCTGTTGCTTTTTAATGCAACCATCAATAGGTGCACACATGTGCAAGCATATTTAGATGCTGGACATTTGGCCTAAAGAATCCAATATAATATATTCAAAGGGCCCCTTTCTCTCTCTCTTTCTCTTAAATCTATTATCCACTCTATCTTCCATTCTTGTGAACCAAGTATGTAGCTGAACATAAGAGATGAAGCTGAGTTAATTTTTCTTTGAAAACTTGGTCCATCAAGGAATGCTCTATATAAGTTCTTAGGATTTTCAAAGGAGCCTGAGAGAGTTAAGCAGCCAGGTACCATGGAATTTCAGTGGCTCCTTCCTGGGAAAAGAAATAGGAAGGAAAAGGGAATAGAGTGCCACAAATACCAGAGTCAAAACTAGAGGGCAGTAATGCAGCTTTAAGCCCCCTGGTCACGAGACTGTTGCTGGATTTTCTCATTGCCCTACAGCCTCATCCTCCTGAGAGCTACTCTCAAATGGATGACAGGTTTACAGCTCAGGGGATAATCAGGTAGCATTTTTTATATTTGTAAAATACTGTGCGCAGTTCATACAAAGCTAATAAGTTATCTAGAAGCCTTACATAAATTGTCACTACCTTTCTCAAAGGTCTCTGGTATGTGGGAGCTCAAATTAGCTACAACTAAGAAATGCTATTTTGACAAACAGTAATAAAATACCTCCCAAACACTGTATCTATAAACAGCTCAAGTTAATGAACTGCAGCCATGCACATATTCTTATTTAGCTATAACATAAACCAGAATAATGACTTGAAGTCCATCTAGAAAACATGATATCCAAATCCATCTACCCATGGCATCCTCCAGGTCATCTTTAGCTTCCATCTTTTCTGATTGCATGATTTGTTTAATCACAGTTATAAAGATCCTTTAAACGGTACGAAAAGCAAGTCATGGTGGGGATATGACAGTATGTTGGCAATGATGCAGTTTCACCATGTCTGGTTTTACTGCAAATTGTTAGCATGTATTCTAGGCTCTTTGATTTGTATCAGGAGTTGCAGTTTGAGAGTCAGCTGCATGGACAGGACACACAGATAAATATATGAAGTGACTAGGCTACATGAGGAAACTCCATACTTTGAAAAGCGTTCCCAGTAGGCTACCTGTTGGCACACTGTACTGACTTTCTGATAACATTTAATATATTCCCTGCCACCCAGGTCTAACTTAAAATTACACACACCTAACTGAGGACGCTGGTCTTCTGTTTTGGACACTGCTGCTGATGATGGCTGTGTAGCTGAAAATAAAAAAATGGATATATTTATTTAATTTTCCAGTTTGAAAATCCCTCACCAAAGTTATCTTACACTGAAAAGGCCAAAGTTACCACTGGCATAAGGAGCAACAACTCGCTGGACTTCCAACAGTGCAGCATCTGATGATGAAAACACTGGAATTTGGACTGATATGCTCAACTGAGTATGGAGCTGATCACATAGTGAAATAAAGGCAAGTGTCCCTCTGGCTTCAGTGAGAACAGATTTTAGTTTTATTGGAAGGACATAGTTATTACTATACATATATATGCATGCTTATTAGTAGGGCCTGGTTTAAATCATGATTTTGCATTTTTCATGAAAATCATGAAATTAGGTGATTTTCACAAAAAATGCAATTTGCAACTAAATGCCATGACATGGACACTTGCTGGGCCCCTCCCCAGCAAGCGGCCATATCATGGCATTTTGTTACAACAAGATGGCTGCCACAGACTGGGGAAAGCATTCCCCAGCCAGCTGCAAAAGTTTAGCAGCCCAGGTGAGGTGGGGGGAAGGGGTTGCAAAAGGGACAGGGGGAGGAGAGAGCCTGGGGATGGGGAGGGAGGGGCTGTTTGCTTCTCTGGGAAGGAAAACTGGGGTGCAGGGGTTGGAGATGTCTGGGGGCTGCCTTGGTAGATGGCCCTGGCACTGGGTAGGGGAGGTGCTGTTTGCTCCTCTGGGTGTGACAACTGCGGCACTGGGGGTTGGGGGAAGAGAATGCACATGCAGAGGAGCAAACAGTCCCTCCCCTACCTGGTGCCCAGACTGTCTGCCAAAGCAGCCCCCAGGCACCCCCAACTCCCTGTGCCCCAGTTTTCCTGCCCAGTGGAGCAAACAGCCTCTCCCCCACCTCGAGCCAGGGCTGTCTGCTTTTCAGCAGCTATCAGAGGTCTTGGGAGGAAGGCCTCTGCTGCTGCAATTAAACCTGGCCCTAAATCTGCCACCTCAGCCAATCAGAGGAATGGGGGGACACCGTGATCTGGGAATGAAAATGGCAGTCCTCACCACAATCAGGTCATGATATTAGCGAGCGAGGGCTGTGATGTTGTGGGATAAACCAGGCACTACTTATTGGACTTGTTGGCATCACAGATCAGGAATTCTAACACCATAATCTCCAGTGAATGGCAAGTTCCATCCAAGCATATTTCTATTGGTTCCTGTCAGAAGTACTGACATACATGAAGAGGGAAAAGTAAATTCTTCTAAGTAACTTCTTGTGAAACTCACAAGGAAAGAGACCTGTTTTTCCTTATGCGTGGATATTTTTATTTTAAGAGACCTTAACACACGTGAGAGGTAACGTGTAATAACGCCCTCCCTTATAGAGGCAGAACTCCTCTCTTCTTTGGACACTGAGTCTTTTCTTCATGCAGCCATAGATGGGAAAATGGAACCCAAAGGCTTTAAAGAAGAACAACGTTTAGGAGACCCCCATCATTTAAATATATTTCAGCTACATCGAAGGATCTTGACCTATCTTCCTGCGGAGTCTACAGCACTTGCACTTACATTTACTTTATTGGTAAATAGACACTGAATATAGAGATAACTAAAACTTTAACATTTCTCCAAACTCTTCTGATTTTGAAATTTTGACCCTAAATGTCAATTCCTCATTTTGACCCAATTCCTCATTCAAGTTCTTAGATCAGCTAGTGATACACAGATACCCATTCTAGACACCTGAGCCATAATAGTTAAAAAAACACAACGGCAGCATTCTGACACTTGATATTGCTGCTTTGGTTTGAGTTAAAACTGCACTGGAATTCTGCCTGTCATGAACTGGGCCTCTAGGTTGGAAAGTAAGCAGATGTGTTACCTTTAGACTGAGGAGCAGAATGACTGTGAGTTGTCCATGCTGATCTTCTGGCTTGATCATAAGGCAAATCTGTAGAGGAAAATACACTGTCTCAGGTATGTATGGTATAGTGTAACATGTTTTAAAACACTGCATGCGATGATATTACTGAAATAAGGATTCCTATAACCCACTTATACTTTTATTCTTTTCTTACACTGACAGCTGCCCCCTGGCCTCCCTAACAGCATGACATGACTAACATCACTCCCCAAAGTTTATTCAATCTTGGCAAGGCAAAAAACAAAAATCACCTCATTTGCCCACTACTGTACTATATATATTTTTTGGTATCTTGTTACCTTCCACCTACTCTTTAGACTCCTAATTCTTACCTGCAAAATTCTCCACAACTCTGCTCCTGTCTTTAATCTTTTCTCTTCCACTCAGTTATAAGGAAAAGGGCATGGTGGACATGTGGACAACTTGTGTTACAGCCATGTTCAGTAGAAAGATGTCAAGCTTCCATGGAGGTCAGAGGGAAGATTAAGTGTCAGATCCACTAGGTGCCTATGATGCAAGGGTGAGATGGAGGCCTCTTCTACCACTCGTTGTTTTAAAAAGAGGGACTGTGGTCTCCAGAGGTGTAACTAGTATATTCAGTGCCCTGGACAGCAGAGATGTACCTGGCCTGTGGGCACTGGAACAGAAGCAGGAACTGGTCCAGGCTCAGTTAGGTCTCTGGCTGGTGAAGAGTAGCAGGAATAGGCTGGGAAACTGCAATCAGAGAGGTTCAAGGGTGACACTGAAAGTCACACCATATACAATTCTAAATTTGGTAGCAGCATAAACCTGGCTGCAGCCTACCTCTCCCACAAATTCCCTCTTCCTCACTCCAGAGCCTGGAGACTTTGCTCTAAGCTGGTTTCTGGCCGCTTCTGCTTACTTTGTACTGTTGGAAGACATAGCTGTTGAAGTTTTAAGCGCCACTGCCTCTGTTCCAGCACCCACAAAAAGTCAGTCTATGTGTGTCCCTTTACTCACCACCTGCTGTGTTATCGGTTAGCCTCTTTACTGTTTTGTAACTTGCTAGTATGTTGCTGTCCCTTTCTGAGATAAATCCAGGCTATCTGGTTGCTGCTTGTAATATGGAAAGCTTAAGTGTTTCCTCTTCCATGTAGGTTCCACCTAGTAGGGATATTTGGGACAGCATAGTTCTGTACTTTTTTATAACATTGCACTAAGCAACTACTAAGACTTACACCACCCCCCTCCGGCCTCCCAACAAAACCAAACCTTTATTTCTTGCTAATATTCCACAATTTTTCTGATTAAAGAAACCATTTATTGTTTATCAATCTTATTAACAACACTAAATTTGGAACCATTTCCTCTCTCGTTAACAGCTAGTTGGGTTGTGGTACTTACTGTATACCTCTCTCATCATACACATATAGCTGTTCCTGTTTCCTGTTCTGTGAGCCCTTCACTCTGTTAACTTCATTCGCATATATAAGCCATTTCTTACACACCCCTGTGCATAGCTCCTTCCTCACACTTGGCACAATCTTCCATCTCTTGTGTACTTACCAATTTCATATTCAGCCTTCATAATCATTCACATAAAACACCTCTTTTTGTTTCATAATTAGCTGCTGGCCTACACTTGAGCATTTCCCATTGTCAGTATGGGGGTGGCAATTTCACAGTTACTGAAGGAAACTCAGAACTTAAGAAGTTAACATGATATGATATATTACCTGCCTACAACCCTTAATGCCCAGCAGTAACTCTAAGGAAATCTCTTCAGAGGCTTTCCAACTGTTTTCCTTGTCATTTGCCCTGTATTCTCCCTCTTGTGCTAGCTTTTTTTCTTGTTATGTTGTTTAAATTATTTCAAGCTTTCTGAGACAAGGAACTTATGTATCTGTGGTCTCATTTGCTTTCACTTTTTATCTAGTCAGGAATTTTCTTTACATATGTCCTAACTAAATTCTTTAAAATATACAGTATAGGAAATATGCAGGGGTTAATTTCACTTTCAAAAAAGGTTTTTGCTTTCTTGTGCATTTCCATAATTTACTTTGGCATGTTAGCTACTATTTCTACCAAGTCAATGTATAACTTTTTGTCCTGCTTTGAGAATTCAAGAAAGGGAATTAAATACATTGCTTATTGCCAAATCAGTGCAGTATTAAGATAGATACATATAGTCCTTTGGATGGTAGATTCTTAATACGATCTTTACTTTCATTTAGAAAAGTTGCCTGACAACCGTTAAAACAAAATCAGGTAGAACGTCATGAACAAGTCCCAAAGAGGACTGGACTCTATGTATGGCTCTATGTACCTCTGCCCATTTTCATACACTATGAGACAAAGTGGAATGGAAACAAAGTGTAATGTGTAATTCACAACCCAATTGACTTTAATTTATTTAGTCTGTTTGGCTTGAGGGATTGACTGGCACTACCAGCACTTGGGGCGTCTGGAATCTTACACTTTAAAAACTTTGCTTTTGCTGAGAGATGCATTTTTCAATTGCATTACATTTTAACCCAAAATGCTTTTTTATCCATGATTTTTACACTTTTACGTCTGATTGTTTTCTTTAAAAAATATATTGAAAATAGTGATAAGTACAGGGATTAATTCTTGAGCTGAACAACAGTAGGCTTTACTATTATTACTGTTTGCCAGCTGAATTACAGTAGCACCCAGAAGTTAGTATCAGGTTGGAATCCAGTGGTCCTATGTTCTTTTAGAGAGTATAGTTAGAGATAGGGCCTGCTCTGCAGACCTCACTGTCTGTCATAAAAGAAAATGAAGAGAAAAAGGGTCATATTTCCTGCTGTTTCCAGAGTCTACTCAACACAACAGAAGAAAGAAGTGGGTTGTCATCAAATTGTTCATATAACCCTGATCCTCTGCTCACTTCCCTGTATGAAGTTTAGAATAGCTGAGGGGCTCCTCTGAACCAGTGCTATGTGCCTGTAGTCCTCAATGGATCCCATACTAGCAGAGGATTTCAGAGTACATCATGCCCCAACCACACCGTTGCCTGATCCTCCTTGTTTTACTATGCCTCTTTCCTCCCCATCTCTGGGCACAGTGTACCCCTGGGGGGCAGGAGAGGAGGTGGAAATGTGTCACCTGGCTGATAAGAAACATCCCAGGCTGATGGTATTCCCATCTAATGGTTGTGACCAGTATCTTCCCACCTTTGTGCCTGCATAACACCCAGGCTAGGGACCAACATTCAAAAAGCCTGAGCCTGAATTGATTCAGTCTTTGCAGGTTAGTCTAACCTGACTAGGCTGAACTGGTTTGAAACTGGACAGACATCCTCTCTGGATTGAGGAAATTCAGGCACAGGCCTGCAGTGGGTCAGGCTAGAAGCTGGGGGTGGGGAGAGGTGCTAGAGCAGCCCTCCTTTCTCTTCTGCAGGGAGCTGAGCTGAGTGGGGCATGGCCAGGCCCTGGCAGGACTCTCTCATTCGGGAGGTCTGCCTGCACAGTTCCAGACTATTTCCAGCTGGCTGATCAAGGGGCAGGAGTGTTGCCAGCCCCAGGTTAGCACTCTGAGGCAAGGGTGTGTGTGCAGTGCAGTCATTTGTTGTTGATACAGAGCTTTGCCCTGCCTGTTTTGTCATACTGTCTGCAGCAAACTGACAGGCGAGCAAGCCAGCCGGAGGGGGGGAGGAAGGGGCTGATAACAGTCTTTATCACCCAATTAGTAAAACAATAGCCTTTCTCCACATTACTTCAAACTTCTTAAACAGCTTACCAGTTGACCTGTTGATTAGCTCCAAAAGCCCTAAGTGGTCACTGTTCTGTCTGCCTGTCCCAGTGAAATTAGAGAGAGAGACACACACAGACACCTTTCAGTATTAGCTAGCATACCACATGCTGGCTACATTCCCTGCTATGGCAGAGATGAGGAAGGGATCTCTGCTTCAGCAGCAAGTGGTGAGGGGAGGCACGGCGAGGCCAGCAGACCCTGCTGTGCCTGCAAGTCTGTGCCGAGTTCCAGACAGGGAGCAGATGGGAGGGGCCAGCACTGCTGTAGAGCAGAGAGCCCTGCCCAACTCAGAGAGCATGCCGGGATGTTGGAGGACGCTGATTTAACTTAAACCAGCAAGGGGTCTGGGACAGACATTGCATAAACTAGTTTGGACCAAATCAGTTATGTCTGATATTACATTCAATCAGGTTTATCTCAAACCAGTTTCAGCCATTTTCAAACTGGTTTATGTGCACTGAACATCTATTCTGTTTCAGGTTTAAACCAGTTTCTGATCACTTAAACCGGTTTATGTGTAATGTCTGTCTCTAGCACCAAAATCTGCCTTGGAGGAGCAGCACATGATATACAAGCAAAGACTGGATAAGTGTAATATCAGGTATAAATGTGGTAGGTCCCATGTCTTTAAAGCCCCTGCCCCAAAGACCTAGGACCAAAGGGAAAATATAACAGTATTCAGATTTGTACCTGTCACCATCCTATTTGACCTCTTCCCTTTTCAGTTGGGTTTTATTTAGGGTTTAACAACTTCCTCACATTGGAAGTCCTTGTAGATCTGTATACTGACGCTAGCTGCCTGGACTTTGTGGATCTGTATAGTAGTGATACTTGTAATTATAAGGACTTATTTTTGTAAAATATCACAGACCTGAAATGCATTAAGAAGTATAAATTTAGTCCTGTGAGAAAGCTCTTTTGCCTTCTGAATCAAGGCCCATCCCCATACAGCTTTGTGACTACACCCTCTTTTAAAAGAAAGATCCAGTTCTTCCTCCTGCTTGAAATAGCCTCTAAATTAATACTTCATTCTTAGTTCAGGATCTTGGAGTTTATTTAGACAATGATTTGTGTTTTGATAAACATATTGCTATTGTAGATAAGCAGGTCTGTTTTGATTCATGAGAAAATGGTACAATAGGTTCTTATCTAGAGCATATCTTTGATGAGAACTCTCCTGTTTGATGAGACATTCAGGCAACACCATATTAGGCCTTCCTGAACTACCACAGAAATCATTGCTTCACTTTTAATGTGCAAAAAACTTCTGGTGTTTTATTGTAAAGATA